TTGTAAAAGAATGACCCATATACAAGCTGATCTATCTTCTTTAGATTAAATTAACTTACTTCTAAATGATTCTGCCAAATTGTGGTAAACATTGACCGTATATACAACTGTCACATATCTAATAAGATCGGTGCAATAAAAATTTGTAGCACAACGACTCAATTGAATAAATAGTAGTCGATGAATGGTGTGTATCTTATCCACTTGTGAACAAAACTTATACAACTTTATTTGATTTTATGTTATATGATTGATCAGAATCAAGCTCACTCTACTTCATTGGAAAAGAGAAGGTTGGTTTATCCATACACACTCTCTTGTGCTCTCTTGTCTCATAAAAACTTTTACAAGGTAGTTCTATATTTTTCGTCAGTACTCAATTTTCAAGTCACTAATCGCTTTCAACTGACAAAACCTTCTGATTAAGATAAAGGTTCAAAATAGCAAAGTTGTGTTTAAACAGTCAGGTTTTGAAATATCTAAATATTCAGCCAATTGGACTGAAAATAAGAGAAGGAGTAATAACTGTATATAAATAATGAAAATGACGTTATAAGTCACACGTTGGTTTATCCTGAAAATTTTCCACTTTCTATTAGGATAATTGCTTACGAAAACTTTTCCAAAATTTATCGCTGCATCAAATAGAACTACTTTTCCTAAGTTCTTATGTGCAACATCTTTTAATTTTTTTCATTAACTTTACTTGGATTATTGTTGAAAATTGCAAAAATCTGAAATGCTCTGCAGGCACATTAAGCAAGCACTCAGTCGGTCAGACGAAAACTCACACATTACCCACATCATCGGTTGTGTACAGGTCAAAGTACATGCACAACCCACTATGAAAGTTTGAATTATGTGAAGAAGTTAGTAGCCACAACGTTAAATTTTCAAACAAATTACTGAAAGCATTGTGCCACTCCTAACTCATTGATGACCACCACAGTGTGCCAGCTAGTATATAGTATATACATCTTATGTTCTGCATCCACAATTTCTATAAGTTAAAAACTCCCTTTGGCCCAACACACATTCGAGTCCATGGAAATGAGGTGACTTAAGCATTAAAGTTGAACCTTTGTGGCAATAAAAGTTTGCACAGCAATTAGATGTCGTTGCCTATAACAGCTGCTGTTAGTAAAGCTATTGGAGTCATTTTGCAGCTTCTGGTTTGCGGTCGGGATCTCTAAAAGTTTTACTAAGGAATAAAAGGTTACAACAAAGAAAACATGAAGCCAAAAAAAAATGTATGTAACTTTTTTGTTATCAAGCTAAAACAAAAGGAAGCAATATTTAATGATAATAATAAAATATTTCCGCAATGAAAAGAGTCACAAAGTCACCAAACTTTCTCCTGCTTCGGGTCACAACGATTCATTTATTATTTATTCATTATTTATAAAATCACAAACTACATTTATTCAAAAACAAAAGCTGACTTAAGTTCCTCTACATTTTATTAAAATTATCTATCAATTTTATATTGATGTATGATTGTACATCCCATGGATTACTTAAAATGACTCATTTCTTTGATTTCTAATTCCTAGTATAATATCTAATATTCATTCTAATATTTTCATAAATAATTATGAACCTTCAGATATTACAGCAAAACTGTTTACACTGTACTTTATCGAAGCGAATAAAGTAATAAACTCGCTAAGAATCTGCTAAGCAGAAATAGAGTCCAATTAGTGATCTCTAACAAATACTGTCAAAATTAAAGGTCAGAAAAGAAAAAACAAAGCCTTGCCCTTTTGCTCTTTCACTTGATAAGTTGTCTGCATGATGTAAGCTTACACACATCAAGATCAGCGTCCTCATCATTATGGAATTGAAGCTTTAAATAACATTATTCCCATAGCAACTGTAAATGCATCATCTTCTCCATCTTAAAATCAAAAACATTATCATCCACAAACTCTTTTTCTAAACACTCACCTATATTCATCTCTGGTGAAAAAGAGGGAGACGGAATGGAAGAGCAGGTTTGTATTATGGAGCAAAATAGATATTATTATGAAGTACGTATATTAATATCCCACTAAAATTAAATCAGCATCAGATGAACACTAATCCTTGTTTTAACTTAGAAATTCATAGAAGTGAATGTAAAATCGTTGTTAGTGACACTAACAGATTTTGCCAAAAACATACATTGCCTATCACATAACTGACCGAACCTGACTAATACTGATCTTCCGGTCACATGACTCGGCTAAGGATTCAAATTTGCTTCATACTAACAAGTGTAAGATTATATTTAAAAAAAGGAATTAATTATATTGACGGGAAATTTTATATCTAACATAATCTGTTTGCAAGGATATTTAAAATATTTCTTTTATAAGATGTGTTCCTGATTCCCTTTCTATTTATAATGAAATGCTTATATATAAATGGATCTAGTTGCAAAGCGAATCCGATATATTAACTCGCAGTATGTTATTTATTTAGAAGTTATTATAAATTAAGAGCATATATTTCAAAAACGAAAATTGTCTAAATGATTTAAGTATTTATTAATTATCCTTGAAGTCATTCATAATATCTACTTTGATCTCTGCAAAATTGTGATCGCTAATATCATGTTTCCACTGCAGCTAAAACTACTTATGTTAATGAAATTTCGATTTCGTCATTTCCATTGGCATAAGCTGATTTATGCATATGAATTAGCTTGTTCGTTTACATTTTATATATACAACATATAACAAATATTTTAAATTTTGGTAATTTCTCTAGTGGGTTGGATTATTTTTTTATTAATTTATTAATATATTATTTTATTAACCCTTATTTTTAAGGGTTGGATTTGACATTTTTCGCTCTAAATCAGTTCGCTTATGGTAACAGCTCTTTGTATGATAAATTATCCGCATTAACGGCCTCAATGAGACAATGAAAACAGGAAATGGTATAACAGGAGAACAAATATGAAAAACTGCTCTAAAGTGTTTCCGAGATCTTAATGTAAAAAATCCCCACTTAAAAGGGAAAGACATATTAAATTAAAAGGAAAACTGAAAATCAAACTTACTTGTTCTAAATATTACACCCAGTTGTATGGCATGCGTCTTACGAAGGTCATACGAAGAAGATATACTTAGAAGTTATACATCGAAGACAAAACAGTTTCATAAAATGCAACGATATGCAAGTACCAAAAATTTTTACTGAAAAAGGGATATTAACCGAATAGATCAGGTAAGACTTCTTCAACATAGAAATAAGTAGCTTGATATAAGATACTTAGCAAAGCGATTGCATTGCACCAAACCATTTTGTGACGGAACAGCAGTAATAGACCCCAGAATATATTGAATTATTTTTTTATTTGTACTAGTCGAAATAATTTACTCCATTGTCGCATATAATTTTACAGCTCCCATAATAATAATTTGAATAATGTTATAGAAATAATGCATTTATATTTTTCACTCCTTTATTTTGGAAACTAAACCGAACTCAGCCAAACAGACATTTTTACTTAGAAAGTTTTGTACAACTCCATTTTTAATTTAAATTCATAATATCATTGCAAAACCGCTTTAAGGAAAACCCCGAGGAAAAACCAAATGTGAATGGAGAAAACTTTGTGTTAGGTTAGATAGCCTCGTTTTTCTCCACTCTTCCTACACGCAATTTAAGACAATAACGCAATAGGAATTATGAATACACAAAAAAAAGTACATAGAAATAGTAAAAAAAATGTAATTCATAGTTGTGAGAATTCGAGGAATCCTTATAAGCGGATTAACTACACAACAAAGCAAGCAAGTGTCACCCAAAGGAAGGAGAATACATTGAAAAAACTATTGCAACCACAGAAGGACATGCAGAAAATATCACAAAAAAATCAACATAGAAATGGATATAGAAGCACTGTCCGTGCTTTGTCCGAAATATATCGCAGCAAACATTAAAATATCGTATAACTCAATTGTTGTGCTGCTATCAAATAAACTGTAAAGTGTACAAATATTATCTACTAAGTAACAATTTAATAATTATTTCTAACTATGATATTTCATTTGCCTATCATAACCCTGAATATCTGGGATGAACTGATCTATCTGTAAATTAATCATCGCAAATAAGCATCGCAGACTATTGAATCCGTATAAAAATAAAGTACAAAATTTGATCACAAAAATGACGATCACAGTATAAACAGAAGAGACAATCCATCATTCTGAATCTTGCACTATCTTGCACAAAGATCATTAATCACAAGATTTCTCAATGGCACATAGATTATTAAAATATATCACAATATAGCATCAGCTCTAAATAGTACCTCTAATCGCTCTTCTGTTAATGTGGGTGATCCACATCTTCATCGTAGGTATGTTGGATGAGTTGATATATCTACATCGCAAACTTTTGAAATTTTAAAGAAATAAAGTAAAAATATTAAAAACGAACAAACACACCATCAACAGAAGAGATAATCCGTCATACTGAATCTCGCACTGTGCCGTAAAGATCGTTAATCACAAAATTTCACAACAGCATATAGATGGAATACTCCTCTCTGAGGGTTACCTCTGATCGCTCTTCTGTTAATGTAGTGTATTCATAAATTGTCGAGAGTACTTCCATATAACCGCTGCACTTTTGCCAAAGTTAACAAGCCTGGACACAATCGCTTTATGCCTTGTATCAAATGCGTTTTCATCACATGCCAAAATAAGACCCAAAGTCGATAAAGTAGTATCTCTAAAAAAAATGGCATTGAATTTTGAATTTACTTGATTGACAAACTGTTCTTATAACAGATGTCAAATAAAAATTTGACAGTTTTTTACAACAATTGCAAAAACAAAATAAAGAAATATTTAGTGAAGTTAATTCATCAAATTGTAGGGTAAGTTTACTTAAATTAAATTTAAAGATAGATAGTATATAAACCGACTGTATGAAAAAAAAATTAACTGAGTTTACATAAAAAAAAATTTTATAAACATTTTTAATGTAAGAAAAAAATTTATTCAACAACTTTTTCTATAAAATTAGTTTCTTCAAACAACTACTGGATAAGTTCCGCATCGTATTTACCGATATTTGCGATTACAACGAGTTCCAGTGTTGTTATTGAGTTGTTACAAAAATATCGCCAGCAGTAACTTCAATCATGCAGGCAACGGAGGGTTTAAAGGCAGGTTTAGTCGCAACTCATAAAACGATTTAAATTTAAAAAAAAAACTTTTATTCGTAGAATATTTTTCTGATTATTCGATGGAGGAAGACCAGCCTTTTCATTCAAGTTCCGGAAAGGGCACCAGTTAACGAAGTCAAGCTAATGATCGAAGGTACTTTTTAACTACCCTATTAGACATATTACAAAATTATAAAATTGTTTTCTTTCAGGTATAACTAAAGTTAGACCTGACGATCAGAAGTTATTCAATGAGGAGCTTGAGGAAATCGAAAGTGGTGGTACCTTGGACCAGTTCAATATTACTAAGCTAAATGCAAAAGCTGAAAAACCGTTTGAATTGGGCATGTCAACAAGGTAAGAAACCAAAATATGTTAACAAATTAGGAACCACCAAAAATATGTCAGGCATTGGTTAAAATTTAAACCTTCAAAGAAGTTTTCATAGTTTCTGGCATGAATTGTGCAATCATTTTGTGCTATGAATGCCAGAAGCGTGTACAAGGGGAGCTGGTTTTATGTTTAAGTTCCACTACCATTATATACTAGATCATTTAGGACCGTCTTACTTTAAATATAATTGATTCTTTACAATTAAATATTTTTGTCTTGACCTTAAACTATCAATCTCCAATTAAACTTACCTATTTATATAAATTTACTAAAAAAAACTTCACATTGCTTTTTAAAACGCATTCCACAAATGTACTTCATACTGATATCTATTTAATTTGTTATTTTATTTATCATTTTAGGAACTGGAATGGTGAATTTGATCCACTTGCAATTATTCCGTACTCCAAACCACAAAAGTTGTGTGAAATAGTTAACCCAAAGAATTTCAATGACACTGGTGGACCAAGCACCTCCAAGCGTTAATAATAAAATTCCTCGCGTATAAAATATTTAACACAAAAATGTTTTAAAATTTTTTTTTATAACTTTAGTTATTTATTTTCAAATAAAGTTTAAATTTTTAATGATATAACATATAATATTTTTCTTAATCAAGTTAAAGGGAGTACTGTCTAAAATCACAATTGAACTTTGAGATCATGAAACTTATATTACAAAAACAGTTTACTACACTTTACAGTAAAAATCAGGTCTACATTTTAATTATCTGTGGATCTACATTATTATTTAAACAAATGTGTTAAATATTTACCAAAGACGACGTCAAAGAACAAATTTAGTCGAAAAAACATTCAGTCAAAAAATCGCAAAATCTCAAAAACGACATATTCCAGCAGCTTATGATATAGTGTAGTACCCTTCAGTCCATTAAATATCCTTTAATTATTATGTTGAGACTAGTTGAGTAATTGCACTTGAACACTTTTACTCTCTATTAACTGCGAGGTTTCGTCATAACCCCCCATAACCGCCTTGACTGGATAATTGTTAATCACTACATCAACTTAAGCAATAACTGACCTCAGATCTGCATACCTCCCCGAGGAAATTGAAACCATTCTGAGATTCGATAACGCGGTGTTAGTAAGCCTGTCAGTTTTCGAGTCCTTATTTCAGGGCTCTATCCTTCATATATTTTTTGATCGGATCAATCTTGAGGTCTCTGAGGATGTCATTCGTCCTAATGTACCATGGTACCTTGAAAAGTCTTCTTAGAACCTGGCTTTGTGCAATTTCTAGCTGGCGAGTTTTCTGAACGGAACATATCCATATAGAAGTGATGGTCGAATTATTTGGTTATATATCAGCTTCCTGTTCTTAGCATTGAATAGCTTATTCTTTTCAGTTGAACATGTTTAAACCATGTGAATCATTTGTCCACCTTGATGCCTAGATATTTAATGCTAGTTTCTTATCGTATCTCCCACTCTCACTCTCTCCCACAATATTATATTACATTCAAAATTATGTTTTTTTTTTTTGTTTTATGATCTAAAGCTATTAAAATTGTTCCGTTTTCGATTGACAAATCTGCGGCAACTTTTTCATCTCAGATTTATTTTTAGTACAATTTTCGATTGGGTAATTTCAAGACTAATTTATAGTACTCTATATATTCTGCAAGATTAATAAAATTACCATCAAATTAACAGCTCTTTTAAATCATCTGATAATTAAAATTAATTCACATATTAGAATTACCACAAACATATTCAATTGAGACGCAAAATTCGACCAAAAAATAACAGATCAAGGGAAAATTTAGATTTACCAATCGAATTAACACATTAGATGAGAATCCCATTTCACTAGAAGTGATAAATTCAAAGAGAGCAATAAAGAAAACTAATGCTTTATTATTTAATTGCATAACTACTTATGGAATGTAATTTGCTTGATAGTACTGAACTCCGTATCTCTATTCAATGCTAAATACAATTTTGACTTCTGAGGTTATGTATTGTAAAAAGTTTTGTAAAGTTATTGCCGTTTTAAACACTTTTTGATAATAACCATGAAGGCATGGTACGCAAAGAGTCAAATCAAAATCTTCGATTTTGTACTGTTTTGATATATTCTGGTTGTATCTTAATTTGATTATTAATTATTTTTGTATGGATATGTAAGTATATCCTCATCACACATGTTTTTCTCACACACTTCTTATATTCATCTATATTCGCCACAGAAGTGATTCATAAGTATATTCATTAGCCAATGCCTTGAGTTAATGAATCACCTTCGCAAGAATGCGTAAACATTTCTAAGTAGAGTAACATACATAAATTGCAAATGATTCATGAATCATAACATACACTCAGGTGAGTATGAATACAAGTGTACTCATCGAAAATGAATGACTCGAATGACTTGTAGCATTCGTAAAAATTTTGTGAGTGCTGTTGTTTGCTAAGCAAAAAATTTGCGTATTTACTTTTATTCTTTTGTTGTGTGTGTTGTTGTTAGCATTTGTGATGCATTTATTTTATTTGTGTTCTTAAATATCATGCGTGCATTAAATTAGGGATTGTTTTAGTAGGAAATTATATGCACAGTAAACAACAACAAGTAAATTTTTGCTGACTGTAACATAATGCTCATGATTGATTCATAAATCATTTGCATCATTTTTGTGTCCAGCAACGGTGTTTATGAGTGTCATAAGAGGAGATTACAAATCATTATAAGTGCTGTCAGGTGTATGTATGAATCGGTTGGAGTCGAATATACGAAAAAGAGAGTGAGAATAAGAAACACAGTCAATGATTCAAGTATGATTCGAGTGTTGTATACTCATTGCAGTTCTCTGATTCACACAAAGATGTGAATCATGAAAACAATTTTACACTTGATGTGACCATGACTATCTGCATAACATATATAAATAGTATATTTTATATATTAATATATATGCATTATATTATATATTTTATAATATATTGACATGTTTAAAATTATAGTAAATTAAAATGAACTCAGCAATATTTAAGATACGTTTCAACTTTAAATATTTTTTTTAAAATTTTTTTTTCATTCTGATTGTGTCATTTCAAAATTTGTTTATTTGTGCTTGAAGTAAAACTAAAAGTGACTTATTAGTAATTGAGTATTTAAATCTGTTTTTACAAGGTTGTTGCAATAACTTGCAACATAATTGTTATGTAAAATAATTATATCTTAATGTATGGGAAGTAATGGCCAATGATGGAGTGGAAAACAATGTTGAAATCATTATTATTGGTAATCTCTCTATTGATTGCATTAGGTAAGAACAAATTTATAGCTGATAAACTTTCGGAAATAAAAGATGTTTTCTCAAAGTTTTGTGCCAGGGCTACCCAAACTGGGAGAGTCAGTACGAAGCTATAAGTTCCGAGCTGATTTTGGTGGAAAGGCAGGGAGTCAGTGCATTGTTGCAGCTAAACTCGGCGGCTGTTGTGGTTTTGTTGGGAATGTATGAACATTTGCATTTATAATGTTTATGTTCAGTTTTTTCTAAGATTCATTACTGTATATTATATTATGTATATTATGTCATGCGCAAATGATATGCAGAGTGTTTACTACATACCTAACGTGAATTTGCGATCTAATTATTAGATCTAACAAACAAAGTGAACGTATGAGAAGAAGTTGGATTTCATTTTCAAAATCAATCAATTTATAGATCGTCACAGAAAAGTCTATCCGGAAAAAACATGCGTGTCACAATAAGTTTATTATATCGAAATGATCTTATATCAGTTTTTAGTTCCTTAAATGTATTTTAATTTAAGGCAAGAACGTATTGTGTATAACTAATTGAGTTCAGAAGTTCTTAAGTTTAGGAGGTATATAGAAAATACTCTGCATAATTGTAATATGAATGAGTTATTTATAATTATAAAATTGAATCATTTTAATAGTTAAATTCTAACACATTTTCGATTTAAACTTTAAACTTAAACTTTGCGACAAACAAATAGTGAATGGACCCTTGCCGCCTCAACAGCTACATGGCCAAACTATTCCAAATGTAGAACCTCTAACTTAATACATACAAGCAAATGTATAATCAGAGGTATCTAGTTAAATATCTGTCTTTACAGCGCACTGGACCATAGGACGGCATGGAGCTAAACTTGGCGTACCCTGTAATATCTCCTGTAATGCGTGTGTACCAGCTCTCGAAGAAAGGACACCAGAACATCTGATGTGTCTATATCCAGGTTTGACCAGAACTAGGTTTAAGTTTCTGGCGGCTCCCTTTTTCAACACAATCAGCGATATCTCTAGCATTAGCATTGGCCAGATTCTTGCCTTTATAAATGCGTCTGGCTGGTTCTAGCTTGACCTTCTCTCTATTACCCATAATTACGAAGTTTTGTGGATTCAAAACGGCTTTTTTTAGCTAAATGAGGAAAACTCATTCCTCCCTGCATTACAACTAATTAACTAGCAATCTGTCCTAAATAATAAGTGAAGTTATATTATTATTTTTAGAACCACTTTGAATTTCCTTAGCTTTTCTGAAGACGTACACAGAAATACAATTAACACGACATTTGCTACTTCTAGATTTATCTTTTATTTTTTTAATGTTATATTATTAAATAAATTTAATTCGTGGTTTATGCGTTTTATATATATGTGGTACATTACCATAAAATCGAACAGTTATTATATGATCTAGGAGTGTTACGTGTGACAAGAGTTACTGTACCTTTTCTCTATTCAATCACTATATGTTAAGCCACATAAATGTATTTATTTGTATCATGACTATTTTTAACCTTTGTATGTTGTATATTATATTAAAGATATTTACAAGGAGTTATATGTGAGTACTTACCATACATACATAATAACATCTCTTACAGTTAGGTACTGGCATTTGGGGAGACAAGTATTTTAAGTCCCTGGAAGCTTTAAATGTTGATGCAACATTTTTGAGAATAAACAACAAACGGGTATGTTTCAAATATTTATTTTAAATTAAAAATATTACGTATATTCTTAATTATAGCCCACTGGAATGACGCAGACCCTTATCTCTGACGATGAGGACCGTGTAGCTTTACATGTGAATGGTGCTAATGATTTGCTTCATATAAATACCATTGAAGACGCCTTTGCAAAATTTAATGATGCCAAAGTATTTTTCATATACTCATTTTAGCACTTTTAAATATTTATTTTACATATACAGATCCTGCTTTGTCCACTTGACATGCCAAAAAAAATGATGCTAGACACCTTAACCTCATTCAAAGCAATATCCATAGTGAGTTCAGCTTCCGGATTACATACCGAATCTTCAGATATTATTAAATTAGCGTCAATATTTATTTGCAATGCAGACCAAGCTGGTCGTCTAATTGCAAAATTTGATATTTTTACATTGAAGTATGTTTGTAAATTAATCCATGATTTTCATATAATTATTAACTATTGATTCTTTAGCGATTGCAAGGTAGCCATTAGTAAACTTTTTGAAATGGGCGCCAAAATCGCTATAATAACAATGGGTGTACTTGGTTCCGTATATGCCAAAAATGAAACTCCGCTGGAGTATGTTGAGGTGCCTATACGCAGAGGAGTTATGTGTAGAACATCTTACGGTGCATTTGATGGGTTTGTTGGTGCATTGGCTTTTTTTATGGTTCGTTATCCAGATCATGAAATGCACCAACATGTTGGAGCTGCAAATGATGTCGCATCTTATACAATCAAATGTGCCCTTAACGAAGGAAAGTTCTACAGAGCAAAGGAAATTGATCTTAATAAAACCATTTATCCATATCAAAAATATCCTCACTAAAGAGGTTTGTTTAATTCAAAAACTAACCTTTGTGTTTTGAAGAAATACTTCATTTCAAATATATTTAAAAATTAAAAAAATGTTAAAAAATTTGGACTAAAAGAGGAAAAAAACAATGCGAAACTATTAAGCCTTCAGATCATTTAATTTATTTACATGTAGAACTTATGTATAACAAAATATTACTGAATTAAATAAAGGTAAAAAGAAATAATATAACGAAAGACTATATCTTTTCTTAATATTTACTGTTAAGTATAGTACATTTCACTATATATACATGCGTTAAAATTTCAGTATAACAAAGTTTTGTATATACTTATACTGTCATCATTACGCTTTACGGAATACGATTTATCATGTAGCTTTTATTTAACGATAGAAACTCTTCAAACGGCATATTTTTTCAATATAATGTCTTTACTACACAACCAGAAATACCAAAAATACGTTTACTATAGGGCATTTAAAAAGGTGATAGAGCAACACCTTATGAACGTTTTTATATTATGAAATATTATGAAGAGCCCATCATCCTATAAGCCCTCCATTAGTTACGCCCATGCGTTAAAATAGACGAAAGTAGAAAACATTGATGTCAATATAACCGAAAGTGATATGTTTACTTCCATAAACGCACAAACAAACATCAAGTTCAATGCGAACTTGATAGGCCAATCAGTCCAGGCAAGCACACTTAAAAACAAAAATAATAATAAAAGTAATGAATAAAAATAAAAAATTATTATTATTAAATAATAGGCTACGAATACATCACGACCTAAAAGATCTATTGTGCGCCTAAAGTCCCAACTAAAACAGTTCTAGAATATTTAAAAATCTAGTAATTGCTGTGGGCTTAATTTTATCTATTTGATTTGAAACTAAGATCCCGCTTCCAAGATAATCAAGTCTACATTTTGTCCCCGTTGGGCAGTTGCATAGAATATGGTCTGATGTTTCCTACTCCCCATGACAGAGTCAACAAGAATCACTTTCTACCGCACCTAAATACTTCATGTGGTTATTGAGTCTACAGTGTCGTGTAAGTAGTTCAGTGCAGAGTATGATATCGTTTCTGCTAAGGTTGAAGATAGCGTCAACTAGGATGTGTTCAGGATTAATGAATCTTTTTGATTGCCACATGCTTGTTTGGGCTCTCCAGTATTCAAGTAGATTTTGTTTCTCCCGTTCTCATAATAAGTTATTTGTAAAGTTATTTGTTACCCTGCAGAATGGCTGTGGATCAATGAAAGGAGTACATGCACCCTTCTTTGTTAGGGAGTTTGCTATTTCATTGCCCTCATACCCTTCATGTCCCGGTACTCACATAGGAGTAACATAGTTCCTCGATGCTAGTGTATTGAGAATTTAAAAACATTCCCAGACCAACTATAATTGGAATGAGGGGTTTGCTAAAGATTTTAGAGCTGCATGGCTGTCCGAAAGAATGCATATTTTGGTACCTTGGATACCCCAGGGATTACATTTAGACATCAATAAAGTTATGCAAATCAAGATTGTCAAGACAGTCAGATCCTTCCCAGTACTTTTGAGCATTCCACAGTTCAACAATTTACCTCATATCATTCAATAGAATCACAGAAGATAGCTAAATCTATTGACAACAATCACGTCATAACAACCGATAGATGTGGCGCCGCTATCGTTGTTCCCTCTCTAGATACTAATTGGAAACCATGTAATTGTCAACGACCGAAATTTTTGCGACCTAGTCTCTAAAGAAACTTCCAAAATAATTTCCCGATAATAACATTGATTTTAACACCAGGCTTGATGAAAACGATTGGAGACCGTCAATCGGCTGTCACAGCTGCCCAAACCATTACTTGAGACGGCAAATTATTTCGAGTGGTCATTCATAGTCTCAAATTTTCGGCAGTGCGATCAGTTAAATAAACATGATCATTTTAAAAGTTTATTAAATGCTCAATGTGTTCTCATCAGAGAACAATTCGCCTTGTTCATGCAAGCGTAACAACTCCTTTGTTAATTCGAGTCTAACTATTTGTTGCTTTGGTGTAAGATCTTGTGCATTTTGGAACTGCTAAGGTACAAGCTTGTTACTTTGAGCTCATTTAAGAACGTGCGGCCATTCAATTCTTTGGCCATTTGATTACGACTACGACATAGATTTCTTCAAGTTGAACCTTCCCTTTTCGTACCATTTCAGGTGATGTTGCTGTTTTTTTTCGTCCACCACCATAACGTTTGGGGTTCTGACTTTCCAACCAAATATAACATAATCACACTATTACGTTTGAATTCCATTTCGAATAAATTTTCTTCTATAAAACTTAGACGCAAATGCTCACTTAGTTGACAATATCAGTTTGACAGATATACCTGTATGTAGTTTGATTGAACTCTTTCTAGGGCTTGTATGTATCTTGAACCATAAACTTACGCCGAATATTGAAGTGTAGGTTTTGCCGTGATATCAAATAGTATAATTTTTCCATACTATTGGAATTACTAAATATTCTAAAAAAATATATATGACATATCAGCTTCATATATGTCTATATGCATTGCCATATCAATGCCACGATATGAATAACCCTTTACAGTAAGTGTTTAATTTTGATTCCATAGCTGAGCATTATAATAGGTTTAATAAAAATAATTGTACGATTATTTTTAAGCTTCCAACTTCCTTTAACCGAAAGTGCAAATTTCATTATTCGCCCATTTCTTAACATTGCTTTCAGATTTAGTGGATTAAAATGCTGTAGAAATGAGGTTAATTGGACTTGCATTATCGAAATCAAACTTGACGGAGACTATGGTTTTTTAAATGCTACACTAAAAGGGGCACAAGTGCTTCCTAATAGTTTTACTTATGACTTGTTGATACTCAAATTTGCATTCAAATTCTACTTAAATCACTATATCTCTATCTTAGTAGCTACCAATCTCCTTCTACTTCACGTGCAACATAAGCACCCAGTCCGTATAAGAAAAAATTAATAGTTAACAATGCTATCAATTTACAGAATTTAAAAAGCGCAAAAATTTTAACTGAAATAAGGAATTATGAAAGCGTAACGAGCAGTGATAGAGCACTTTGTATAGCATAAATAAAAGGAGCAAACATCTTACCATCCTGCACTGAGTTCAAAAGTGTCTTATTGCTATTATTACCATTTTACAATATTAACATATCCTTGCGGATAGCTTTTCCTTAAGAAGAGCAGCAAGGTTGTAACAAAATCATTCGAAGCATCTATACCATCAGCAGTCAAAGCATATACAGTAGCAACAGCTCTGCCGTTAAGATGATAACAACTCCTTCCCAACAAGAAGAAGAATGTTGGATACCATTTTTCACAGACATTGTATTTCTAGCATCTATTGTTTACAATATGTTTTCGTAAGTTGTCTTTACACTCTTTACTTTTTATCTGTTTTGAAAATTTTTTCGTCTTCAGTTTTTGAACTCCATTCTTATTTTATGGCCACATCATGCAAATTTTACTTAATTCACCTTACATTACCGGCCCAACGAGAAGTGCAAAATCGCACCCCAATTTCACTCACTCCTACGGGCCTCCATTACACTTGCATGCTTTGTATGCTTTCGTTGCTCCTGATGTTACTCCTCTTAAAAAATAACGAACATGGATTGTTCATACAAAATGTATCTAAAAGTATTCATTTTTTACAACAAGTGCGTTAAATATTCTTTTTATATTATTTTATACCACATTTATTGCATTCTTGATACGTTTCCCTCGTTTCTTCATTATTCAAATTTTGAAATTACGGCAATAAATTCACGAAAGGGAGGTCAGTACACATATAAGTCTGGAAGTTTCGTAAATACGAAGAAATAAAATAAAATTTTTTAAATTTCTTCAATATTAAAAATGTTTTCTATTTTTTGTTTTGTTTTTTTTTTTTTTATTAAAACTATTAAGTTTATCATTATTATTTTTATTAACAAAATTATATGTAAAGTTCTATAACAGCTATATGTTAACATAGTTATTAATTATTCTTATAATAATATCAAATACATAAGAAATTAAAAAATAAATAAAATTAAACAACAAAATAAAGACAAATTGTTATATTTGTACCCAGAAAATATTCGCACAGAATAAATAACTACAAAGACCGGATGTCTGAAGTTATCAGGTAAAAATGCACGACGGATGATGGATGGTTTTAAGTATATGATTGCGACAATGATTATGTTATGAAACAAATTAACAAACTACTATATAAAACCAACATAAAACCCCATATTAACGTAAATCTATATGAACGACAAGGATTTGAAAGACATATAGGATTCAACTGTGGGATTTAACTATTAAATCATACAAACTCATCATTCTAATCAAAAGTTCTAAGACTCATAACCAACTTGTCCTGGTATTTCACTAATGATGTACTCTACGGAATTTTATCATCAGTTTTTATATATGGAGATAAAAAAATAGGCTACTACGGTCTCACTCCTGTTCTTGAAGCACATACCAAAGCTTTAGCAAAAAAGTTACACCAATTAAAAGCCTATTCCGCTTAAAAGTATTTTACGCAAATAAATAAGTTATGTTAAGCTAAGTAGACATAGGTTAAATTTATTCACGAAAAGTCTATCCAAAAGTAAAACATAAAAGATATTAGTCGTTGAGATTTCGATCACATTTATATTTCCTTGCCTTTAGAATACACACCTAACACTCCCATAAAATGATTCAAATATTCTCATATGTTACAGTACTCCATTCTTTGACCTCATTTTCGATAAGTTCTCGATACGTAACTGGGAATTACGTGGCCATAATTTGACAATGCTTCTTCTCAAAGCGTTACGAATTTCAGATAATTGTTCACATATGTGAACTCTTTTGCAGAACCGCAAAAAAAGGTCAATAGTTACAAATTGCTTAATTTTAGTGGCCAATTTACAGCACCATAACGTAAGATTATACGTACTGAACTTGATATGCTGTTTGTGTCACGATCCTCTTGGAACTATGTATATCCCACGTTCATATTTTTCACTTAACGTCAATAAAATTGATAATTGTGGCTTCTGCAATTAAAATTAACGGTTTCTATCATGCTTTTGACATTTTCAAGAAACTACGAGTCTATCGTACCTTATCTTTATATCTAAAACCTGTCATACACTACAATAATTTTTTATAGTTATAATTGCGTCTCCTGTAGATTTTGCCATCAGGTACGACATGTGTTTGTTAACTATCCACTAAGCAAAAAATGAGTCTCATCACTGAAGAAAAATAGATAGAAAAAATCGCCATTTTTCTAATAGATTTTTGGAAATTAATACATTTAGCACTTGTTAAATGGTTCATATTGTAAAATGAAAAATTCTCGTATATGATATGGATGACAGTCACTGAAACAGTACTACTAAATCAAGACCATGAAATTGATAATCCTATACAAATAAATTTTAAATAACTCCTATTTACGATTTTACAAAATATTATCTTATTTTCCTAACCTATTCATTATTACTTAGACACTCCAAAAAACTTGTACATATTTGGTAAAAAAATAATACCTAGTACATCAGTATGCAAAGACTTATAGAATGAAAGCGATCTGAAGCTATTGTAGTATTTTTATATGTTTTCTGCAAATAATAGTCTTCAAATTAAGGAAAAAAAACAGCGGTTTGTAATAGTTAAGCAAAATTATATAGCTGCTGTTTATTACGTTAACTTTAAAAATATCACAGCAAATGGAATTGTTGTTTACGAATAAAAAAAATTCATGTATAAAATAAATAAGTAAAACAAAAAAAAATTAATAAAAAGGAAAATTAAAAAGGAAAAAAATAATGAAATAAAATAAAAATAAAATAAAAACAAATAAAAAAAAATTATTCCTCAAATATTTTTAAAAATTTCTTTCACATTTTCGAAATAAACAAAAATTGACAAAACCCGAAATTAATATAACCCAAATTAATTGTACGCTTATTTTTTATGTTAACGGTTCAAATAAAACAGGGTTCAATTACTGACACTTTCATTAAGATCATTATATACAGACAATTAAACCAATAGATATTTTTGAAGACCACTTAACATGAGTATTTGCCAGTACGCGAAATCAGCTTTGTACTTAGAAATAACACCTATATAAATTTCGATTACCTGCTAACGCAGATTATGCCTCTAAGATAAAGAAACAAGTATGCATATTCTTTGTGATTGTCCAACTTTAATAACGCTCAGAAGAAACTTATTCCATATGAAATTTCTAACACCAGGATAGATCAAAAGCTCTTCTCCCGATTTAGTTTTGGACTTCGTTAACAAAGCTTTAAAGGACTTTGTCTAATTAAAAGCAGAATTTAGTACAATAGAACTCTTCTGGCCGCAACGTCAGCTGTTGGGTAATTTCACGATAAAAGTTTTAATAATAATGAACACTATTAGAATAAATCATTGCAGAAATATATATTATATATGCCTTTCTGACTAAAGATTTTGTTCGTAGAAACTACTTTTTGACAATGTTTATTTCGATTAATATTGCAAGTCAACTATTTATTATTTCGATTCAATCCATACCATACCATACCTATTGATATTTATCATTTCCATACCATACAATAAAACGACACACCTTGTATATAATAATTTTTACTGTATCACCTGGGTAACAGATTTGCTTATAGGTGTAACAATATGTTTGATCGATTTATTTTTAAACGATTTGATAGTATCGAGAAAATAAGTAGTTCTATCTTTGATTTCATTCACGCAGTATTCATGTAGTAAATTGAGCTAACGGAGTAAAAATAGTAATGGAGAAAAATATAAATCCTTTCAAACGACCTATGAATGCTCTACAAACTCAATGGTACCGCATTCTTCTTGCTCGTCGTGTTGGCATTCAACCAACGCCCCCAAAAAATGTGAACGAAGATAAAAAACCTTAGTGAGTAATAATAAACAAATAACATTAACGTATGAGTGCACATTTATTAATTTGGTTCCGTAATTAAGAAACTATATTCCAAAAACTAATCTTACTCACTTTCGAGAGACATGTAACCTAATCAAAAATATTTGAGTTTCAATCATCCTTTAACGTATGTAGCGATTGTGAGTGTTCTTAATAATTAATGCTTTTATTTTTTGATAAATATCAAAATGACTTAATAAAGTAAAAAATCCATATATAAATTCTTTATTCTATCTCCACAGTCAAAATATATGCCGTAAACGTTATTTGACAGCATTCCAGCGCTATAACAAACAATTTGTTAGAGAAATCGAGCAACTGGAAGCGATGCAACCAAGTGCAATTGATGCCATGCGAATCCACAGGTACTAATTAAATACTAATTTTCAAAGCACTCAGAAAGATATCCATGATTCTAAAATCGGCTTTATTTCTATTCACTTGACTTTAAACCATTATTTCTTTGAAACAGATATTTTTATCTGACATATGGGTGTCTGTGTTTTTTGCTCACTAGTTGTAGATAGTTATTAAAAGAAGTTAAATCTTTTCATGTTGCAAAAAAATTAAATATTTAAATGAAATTATATATGTTCGTAAATCTATAATTTTCAATTGTCCTGTTAAGAAACACGATTTTTCCAAGACCGCTATGAAGTTTATAAGTGAGATCTATATAATTACCGTGGATTGTTTTTCTTATAAATATAACTTGTAATATTGAACAAGACAAGTAGAAGAAAACATTCTTTACAGAAGCCGCGGTAAATCTAGTTACCAAAAACAGTTTAATGCTCCTCGTGGTATTTCTGAAAGTAAATAATTCTAGACCCAACTTACAACTGGTTCCAAATGGTTAGTGTAAAACACTTATGTTTACTAAACTATAGTTCGACCATTCCTCGCAATATCATGTGACACGTTATACTTCCTCTATTAGATTGTAATTTTTCAACCACATCCCTTCAAAGATATTCTGAAATAGAGTAATATGATTTCATCATGATCTTTATAAATCTGAAAATAAAATAAATGAGAAGGTCGTGAATATTTAAATAATAACTTTTGTGTATTCATCGGTTGATCTGAAGTAAATTCCAGGTTATAAAAAGATTTCTAACAACTGTAAGGCTAAAAAACGGGTCAGAAATAACACACTTTCTTTTAGGGAAAATTACTGCTTACATATAATTACTGATTTATACTGTAACTGATTCATACTGTTTTTATTGATTTAATTGCCAATACAAATATTTGAAACTATCAAAACACATGTGCGATAAAACGTGTCTATAATCAGAAAAGTGAAGTCTCACGTTGCACTGAAGAAACACAATTTTAAAGGAGCTCTATTAAATGACTGATGTCGTAGTTATGGGTCTGAGGACGATGAGGAAAGTGTTATTTATAACCGTCAAGCCCTCACCAAAGGGCCTTCATCCGCTTTCAGGTTTTCTTGTCTGAAATAGGTTCCTTTAGAACAACTAGCATGGCCTACAAATTTGTGGTGTCATAATGGGCTCACGTCAAGGACTAACTTAGTGCCTCTTTTTATGGAACTTGCTTCCATTAGTATCCATTTGTATCTTATTGTTTGCGTCATGTATTATTAAAGTTTATTTGGAATTTGTTCAGATAAGAATTGTTTTGAAAACATATTTTAGAAATATCAAAACTTGTACTTACATAGATAGTACTCTCTTTCTCTTGATATCGTATTCATTTAATCGAAAACTTTAGAACTTTTGTTGTTTTCATTTCGTAAAGAATGAATATCAAGTCTTTTCTTTTGTTAGATATTATCTTAATTATTACATTGAAGTTTATTACGATCTATAAAAAAGTTGATTATATCTACTACTGACCCTCGACTATTGTAGCCATGATCCTTAGGATAATTTACTATTTAAAAAGGATAACACTGTTTTTATGCATAAAATGTTAAATGGCTTGAAACGGATTTTAATTTTGAAAAATTACTATAACTTTCTGACGTTGAACTATGTCTGTTTTATTATCATTTAATTTATCATTATCATTATCTTTGTTTAAACTTAAAAATGATATCTTAAATGACTTTTAATTCATAATCCAAGCACAGGGTTCCATTTGACTTTTGCTTTAAAGATATTCAATGAGAATAACTAACAGACCCATTTTCATACCTAAATAATTTATATATCCAGTCAAGTTAGCAATAACAATATTATACATTTTCTGAATACTAAAATTATTTGAAATTATTTTAATACATCAATATATGCTTAAACGCACTGTTAGTCCTACTATATGATTGATAAAGCGAACCCTGTGACATTGCTGAGCACCAAAAAGGGATTCACAACCGGTAGAGAGAGAGGGAGAGAGATGTGACTGTTAAAATTTTCGCCTTCAGTTCAAAGAGTATTAATTAAAGATATTTAGGTACTTTTATAGCTCAATGCTCTAGGTAGGAAAAAAAATATGTCTTCATCAACATCATAGTTCAATATAAGTGTATTGTCTATTATTAATTCATGTAAGTCCTATCAGAAAAATTTAAAAATATAATATTTTACTGTTATAAATAACGTCAAAAAAAAAATATACATATAGAAAAAAAAACGAGTTTTTAGTGCTTCTATATACTTTGAATTAATTTTTTATTTATTTATATTTCTCATTTTTCAGGAGCTTTTCCATCACCACTTTCTGGCCACCATTGCATTCAAAACATGAAATAAATTTGACTCTAGAGCACCTGGAGAAAGTATTAAGTCTTAGAGAAAGAAGACGTCTAGAAGCTGTACTACAAAAACAAACATTGAAGTAACTTCACTACTTATTATTGCCAAGTGAATTTAAGTAGCTGTAAAAATTTTAGGAATGAAGAATCTGAATTAAATTTTCTTTCTCATTAAGATTATTAATTAAGATCTTATACGCTAATAAAAATAAGAAGCAAAATATTGCTCCAAATGTATATAAAAAAAACGATACTTTCGAATTTGTTTGTTTGAAACGTAATCATACCAAGGCTGACTAACCTGATTTTAGTTTACTTGCCATAGATATAGAGAACTCTAGTTTTTTTACTATTATTATTTCTTTCGACTTGTATGGAAAAATAATCGCAGTTGATATTGTTAATTGAAGTAAATCAAAGTTATTAATACTAAAAATTATTGTGATATATACTACATATTATGAGAAACGATTTCTATGTGTGTATCGATTTGTGACATGAGATTGGATAAATACTCTCCATTTTTTTAACTTCTTTATTGTATTTAATTGGAGTTAACTTCAGTCAATTTCACTTAATATATTACTAAGTATAACTTTGTTTTCGAGTAATTGCGCAAGGATTATCCTAGACGATGCACCAAGACCATCGTCTAGGTCTGACGATGCATGGTCCACCAAGACCATGCAATTTGAAATCACTAAACAATTTTTCTGTAGGATTTTGCAAAAATCATATCATATTTGTGTGAACAATTCCAAAACTCTTAATGCTTTGAAATATATTGTCTTAAATCCGTTGAATAATAAACAAGCTATTGATAGCTAAGAATAAGAGCTCTAATCTGGAGCTGCTACGAAACTATTAGATCTATGTTTGGTTTCACTTAGCCAAATTATCTACTTACCTATTTCCGATTTTCTACCGATAAGTCATCGAAAAGTACCCCAAAAGGATATAGTACTTTTAAATGTTCCGAAAAGAATTATGTTATGTTTCATTAACAATGACTGGGTCCAAAGAAATAACTGAAATAATAATTGAATCAAAATGCTTATCACTAATGTAGTTTATTCACGTTTAATGGAAATTAACTCTATAGATATTAACTTTCTCCATTCAATGAGAAACTTAATTTATTGTCAATCTTTATAAATTTTTCAAAAATTAGTTGAGGGATTAATATAATATGTATAATACATAATTTTTAAGTCATATTACGATATATGAATAATAGACAAAATACAAATGCTTGGCAATATAAATATTTCTAGAATTTAATATTTTTATGGTCATAACTAATGTTATGTTTCTTGGTGGATCAACAAAAAGTAATTCAAGGCAACGTATTTTAACTAATTGTTCTATCATAATCAACAGATAGAATAACTACAAGTTAATACTTTACCATACATATTATGTGAGGTAAAAACTATTCGTCGCTTTTTGTCAATAAAAATGTCGAGGAAATTTTGGAGTTGGTGGATTAAGATCGACATGTAAGCTGTCGGAAGATAACAGGGGCACTCAACATAGTGCAGACTACGCAAAGACACTCGATGTGTGAATGCTGCAATTTGGAAATTTCATTACCGAATTACCATCAATGAAATGCTACCAAGAACAACAAAATCATATGATTTTGAAACAAATCGTTATGGGCGATAGAAAATGTATTGAATATGATAGTATCTAAAACAAGCGATTATAGTCAATCTCTAGATTGACTAGACTCTTCACAAACCACTTCTATGTCTGGATTGACGGCAAATAGGGATATATTAAGTGTTTACTGAGATGGAAAGAACATTTTTATTATGAACTGCTCGTCTACTGCTCACAACGGAACAATCAAAGACGAAACTTAGTTGTTTAGTTTTGATGCATCCACTGTATAGCCCGGACCTTACACCGCCCGACTACCATTTGCTTGGGTTCTTGCATATTTATTTTTTTTTCTTTTTTTTAATGATAAGAAATTGGCCGACCATAGAGCCATTGGAAATCACTAACACTAGTTGTTGACCAATAAATTGCAGTAGTTCTACATCGATAGAATTATGAAGCTATCCAAAAGTGGCAAAATGTCATAAAAGATACTGAAATATTGACCAATATAAACTTCATTACCCAAGAAATAATGTTATCATATAGCATTGCCATACTGCTAAATCCTTGATGGTATCGATATTAAAAGGCGTTCAAATCTTTCAGTAATTTTTAAGTCATATTACCATATTACAAAAAGTTAAAAAAAATAATAGAGCCGGGGTGATTAAGCAAATTTACTAAGTGCACAAAAATATACGCTTCGTTGCAAATCACAATGGTATCATCGACAACTGAGAAATGTGTGGATTGAATTTTGAAATGATTTTCCGGTATGATACGATGCGCCATTCCGTAACGTAGTAAAAAAGTATGAAGTAGTTTATATTTTTTATTTTCTGCTTTGTAAAAACGTGCCCCAATAGACATACGGAACAAAACAACAGTAATGACTAAGAAAGTCAAGAACGAAAAAAGGGGGGAAATGTACCCAAAATCGGTAGATAATGTTGAAAGTTTGATTATACCTAGTACTAGAATTTCGTCGACTGCCACCACTGCCACCACGCAACAGTCAATTCCAAAGCCTCCACTGCCACAATGAACACAATCACGTATATCAACGGAGCCAACATTTCTACTTCAAACATCAATTGCACATTCCTGTTTGCTTTATGGAATTGTGCCGTGATGCGCCTCGGTCTTTATTTGGTTTCATTTTATTTGATTTGCGTTGGTTAAATTCAGTTTGCTTTGGTTTGGTTTCCTTTGGAATAATGTATGTATGTAGTTTGATTTGGTGAGGCAATATTGAGCCAAAGTACTTTGGTTTATTTTAGATTCGAAATTCCACTCACGTAGCGGATGTTTATGCCATTAGCGATAAGTTTGGCATCGCACGCGTAAATAACAATTGCAGTTTCATCCTTATTGAATCGCAATGAGAAACAAATGTTAACAATTTAGGCGGCATATATTTGGTTGGAAGACGAGCTGCTGATCAAAATCTCAGTATTGTAAACAACTCACTTTAAACATTCGCATAATATTAAAAATTTGTTACACAATTTAAATGGCAAGAAACCGTTCCTTATTAAAAGGAAGTACGACTCAGAAATATATATAGTTAGGAGGGACATATATCGTAAATAAATATAGTATTTAACTAATACATTAACGCTCAATCAGAAATGTATACAATTATTACTATATAAAAGATACCAATTAACTGCAATAGTTACCAACACGAATTCCAAATAGCAGAAACTTATTCCTTATTAAAAGGATGTCTAATGTTGAGCCTTTTCCGAGTTAGTGCAACTGGGCAATTTTACTCTTTGATAGCTGGGGGGGGTTGCTGCAGAGTCCCACTCATCTCTCTAACTAATTTGTATATTTCTCATAAGCTTCGTGTTTATTCAATGACTGATCTAAAATCTGCAAAAGATCTAAGATCTCTCTGACCAATTTGTGTATTTCTCATAAGCTTCGTGTTTATTCAATGACTGATCTAAGATCTGCGTACCGTCCCGTGCGGTTAGTGATTTTTCTGAGATTAGATAGTGCTAAATAGGGAAGCCTGTCGGTTTTCGCTTATAGCTTCAGTGCTTTGCCCTTTATGTATTTTTTGACCGAATCTATTCTAAGGTCTCTTAGCATACCATTCATGCGGACGTACAATGGCACTTCGAAGAGTCAAATAAAAAAATATATAAAATTATTACTATATAAAGGATGCCCATTAAATGCAATCGATTCCAACATGAATTCAAAATAGCAGGAAATCGTTCTTTCCAAATCGGAAGTACAACGCAAAAAATGTATAATGAAAAAGGGTATATATCGTTAATAATTATGGTATTTAACTAATGCATAGTCCCGCAATCAAAGCTCAGTTAATATAACGTATAACATTATTATCGTTTATAAAAAATCGAAAAAAAATATTTAATTATAAAAATCGTACTCAAAATTCCAAACGAGCAACAATTCCAAGACGAATTCCAAAAAGTGACAAATCGTTCTATATAAAAAAGAAGTACAGCTTAATAAACTGTATAATGAGAAAAGATATATATCATAAATAAATATAGCTTTCCCAATGGGATTGAATTCAAATTTTGATCAAATTTCTTTTCGTTTATATTTTACTTTTAAAGATATTACCGGATTTATTATATTAATTATATATATATAATATAATATTAAATAATACAATATTAAATAATATAATATTAAATAATATAATATTAAAAAAATAATAAAATATTAAATTTTTTTGACTGAGTTAACTAATCTAATCATATTAAATTGATCTTTGATGTCCGTTTTGACGAAAGAAACTAATGGCGTTTTCGATTGGTAAATCTCGATTCAATCTAGATTTACTTTCGATCTATTAAATTTTGTAGCCCAATCGAACATTTTAAGAGTAATCTACCTTCTGTGTATAAGTGTTATTAGACATTTATATTTTTCATAAACACATATCGAATCAAATCACAATCTATCTGTTAAATTATACAAAACAGTTGTTAATTTTGGGGTAAATTTACTACTCTGGCAAAATATCTAAAGTGTTATAAATTAATCTCAAGTCTTATACATTTTGCCCCAGATTCACCAATCGAGAATGAAAATGCACTTAAAATGCGTTAAAAGAGCATCTTAATTTAAAAAATCAACCCAGATTTACTAATTACCATAAGACTTCTAGACTGGTTCCAAGAACAGCTGGGTCTATGTCCCGGAGCCACTCGTCGAAGACGACCAAGCGCTGTTCAACCACCTCCAAAGGCACTTCATAAGCAGATCCCGGCGGAATACAATAACAACATTACAGACTACTGTTTTCAATAGAGAGGTTTCTTATCGAATGAAGTGAATTGTAATAACAAAATTTTATTATTTTTAATTAATTGAATTTATGAATGAACATACAACTGTTTCAAGTGTTACCCATAATCAGTGATTTTTGCACTTTTTTTTATATTTAATTATAAGTAAATAATTTTTGAGATTGCAAGTACAAAGAGTTTAACTCGTACCCTGCCAACTTTGAAGCTCAGAGTCAGTGTTCATTAACCAAGTGAACACTAAAGCCATACTTAAATTGTGTGTACCAACAATCATAAACCAGCTATAGAATAATTGAATTAATAAAATATGGGGTTAGAAATTCGACGAGGTCGGCAGGTTAAGAAAAGCGTTGTCATTACGAGGGGTATCGATTGATCTTTATAGTACTCTTGGTTGTTCATTCAAAAATATTTTGTACTGTAGCAGTATCACAATAGATTCGACATGTCAACGCCAGAGATTTAAACGAAAAAATTCTAGAAATTGTATAATTATTTGTAATAAACGAATGAAATTAAATAATAAATGTGAATTAAATAATAAAAACAACTGATTTTTCTTTAGTAATCAAATTTGTTATTTATTTTTAGAAAAATAAATATTAATTTTTATGTTATGCGTTTTTCTCTTTTTTATTTGCTTTTTGAGTTTTTAATTATTTTATATTGATGGCTGAATTTATAATTTATTAAATTTCAAAATTTCATTTGTTAAAACAATTTTAATTTAAGTTTACGTTTTGTTCTTTGATTAAGAAACGCCAGGCGTACACCTAAACAAACTTCAGATCTTTTAAAAACGAACTTAAAATATTTTTAATACAAAAAATATATATAAAAAAATAAAATAATTTAAATAAATCCTAGCAACAAAATATTTAATAATAATATTTATAATAAGTAGTTAAAAGTAAATGAGTCTATAAAGAAAACATTAAGAAGTACAATTTTTTTTTAAAAAAATGTTAAATACTTGTATTAATTTTTAATAAAGCCAAAAAAAAATAAAATAAAACTGACAATCGCATCGAGAAAAAATCAACTACCGATGGTGATCATATTGACAGAACTGAATTTTATTAACAAACAGTTAAAGTTAGACATCTCATCATAACATATCCCTAAGAACTTCCTTTTGCGCGGCTGTTAATTTCTCCGGAAATTGTATATCAAATGCCACAAGTAAATCACCTTTGCGCGTTGTATCCTTAGGGAAGGGAAGACCGTACCCTTGAATACGTTTAACTGTATTCGGTTTAATTATTTCCTGCATAGTACTTATCCGCAGTTTATCGCCGGACATTGTAGGAACTTGGAAAACCACTCCACAAAGAGCCTACAACAATTAAAGAAAATTAATTTAAATACTAAACAATAAAAGAATAATATAATTTTATATATATTGATTATTAAAAAATATTGTTTGATAATAAAATTTTTATGAAACGATCAATCACAACATCATTTAATAAAAGCACAAAAATTTATGGAGGTAGCCAAGCAGCCATGTCGTTATGGTAAACCGCTGGGACCTAAAAGCAGATAACATAAAACGTTTTATAAGACGAATACCTGAGTTAAGATGTAGATGGGTGTTGGTTTACGGTGGGAGAGGGGTAAGGGGAATGGGGAGGGTCCAAGCAACCATCATGTACTTCGCTGGTTTCGGTACGAATTGTCGGTATATTAATCGGTTGACCCAATATGGGTACCGCATCAATATTACTTAGCTTCATTATTCATTTTAATTTCTCTCTTGAATTGTGGAGTTCTTTTTCTTAAACCAAAATTTACGAGATGGGAACGGGTTTGTTATTTACTGTCATTTCTTTTCATTTTGCCATTTACTTTACTTTGGATCACACCAGATAAAACAATGTGAAAACAAATATAGAGAAACAAAGCCTCTTCGAAATAAATATCGAATCTTTCATATTTATTGATACAATGAAACATTATTAGATATATGTTATGTATATATCCTAGATATATCTTGGATAAGTGATATATGATAACACATGCATTATATATTAGTAAACAAATCTTTTAGTCAAAAAGCTACGAAAAAAGTAAGCTCTAAACTTATCTTGAAAAAATCTGGAGTAGTGAACACTAAGTTAGCAGAAAGTTCGCTTACCTAAGAGAGAGGGAACATATTGCGACAAAAGCTTATTCCCTGAAAAAAATCTCTTGGATCACCATAATCCGAAGCAAGCTTTTATAGCAAAATTGACATCAATAGCTAGAAGGAACTCTATCAATTATACCCTATGCAATTTAAGTAAAGTGGAAGGTCTTCACACAACATTTTATGAGATGATGTCCAGTAATATAAAACTGTCGATGTAGATATTTTCAAAAATTTAGGATATGTAAATTTAAACTCATTGATGTGTTAAATGGTTCAAATGATGTGAAATAAAAAAAGATATAGCTAGAAGGAACTCTATCAATTATACCCTATGCAATTTAAGTAAAGTGGAAGGTCTTCACACAACATTTTATGAGAAGATGTCCAGTAATATAAAACTGTCGATGTAGATATTTTCAAAAATTTAGGATATGTAAATTTAAACTCATTGATGTGTTAAATGGTTCAAATGATGTGAAATAAAAAAAGATATTTAATTTATAGAAAAACGAATTATGTGCCAGAACTTTCTTTTTAAGGAATTATACTTAACATCTGACAGACGGTTGTTGCAATGATGACATATTATGTTGTTTTCTTTCATTTTGTTTAACTTTGACAAATAATTAAAAATGTAAATAAATGCCATCAAATCGAAAAAAAATCTATGCTGTACTAATAGGAGAGACGGAGAGACCTCAAGAATGGTAGGCCCAGAACCATTCTGTGGTCTAAGCAAAGTAACTCTATCCATTCTTATGAATGACGCATAGGAAAAAGAAAGAGAACCCTATTGGGAAATGCTACTAAGACTCTCACAATCTAAAATGCTTTTATGGACTTACAACTTAAAACGCTTCAAAGATTGCATAGCACAATCAAAAAATAACCTAAGAATTATTACGGGATTATTTACCGATCACTGTACATTGAATAATCATCTATCGAAGTTAGGAATTCAATCCAACTCAGACTGCAGATACTGTAGAGAAGAGAGAGAAACGCATACCATGTGCTTAGGGAGTGCCCGGCATTGATACACAAGCGGAAGAAACACTTAAGATGATATTTCATGGATCATAAGAATTCAAGACTAGGAAAAATAGGCTCTATACTGTCTTTCATTAAAGATATTAAACCTGGAGAAACACTCTAACCCGACTAAGAGGCACAATAGATCTTTAAGGTCGCAGTGCAGGATCCCTTCTTTTAATAATACAAAAATAATTTCAGTTGATATATTTTTAATAACTATAAAATCTCCCAATCGCACCTTTTGATAGTTCAAAACTTGATAAATAATTTGATGTCGATTTTCACATTACAGTTCACAAAAGCAGCATTAAGGTGTACAATTAATAATAATGCGAATAGCATTGTACAATAGTGGAATTTTAATCTCGTTCACTGGGTTAAATAAAATATTATTTCTGTTTTTATACATTATTTCTCATTAGTTATTATAGTCGCATCTGTTGATCATCAACACATCAAAGTACCACAAACGGCAACGCAAACATGCCAATTTTGAAACTAAGCCAGCCTAGCAAGCAATGTATGTTTTTACCAAATTTTTTTAAATATTCAAAATTAATTCAATTTAATTTGATAAAAATAAAAAAAACAACTAATTAATTATTAAAACTTTTTAGAGGTGGAAGCCTACTAATTGCAAGATACAGCAAAGTCATGAGCACATAATACGATCAATAAAAAATCACACAAAGTTTAAATTTCCTTATTCGGGCACAATTTATTTCTGCTTTTCAGATAAACTCCAAACAGTTTTACTAAAACTGACACAATAACAAGCAATAAATTAACAATGTTACTATAAGCGTTTGAGTGTTGAGATTGCTTCCATAATTAAGAAAAACTATATATGTACTATATTTTAATAAATGTTAAAAATATGTCCCATACTAAACTTCACACTTGAACGATCAAAACCACAGCAAAACATAATTTTTTACAAAATTTTATGCACCTGTCAACTTTTTTTCATACAACCAAAAAATTTGACAACAAACAATGACAACCATATAACGTAATTTTTATAGTTCTTATAGTTGATTGACTAATAGATATGAGTTAGATATTATATGCACTTCACTATAATATAGCTTAAGCGTTTAGTACATATATTAAGAGTATAAAACAGTATCCATTTTGAAGTTTCATAAAATTAATGTAATTGAAACTCCAATCAAATTTTTATTTCAAATATTTTCTTGAACTATCTGTTTATGGATGTTAAACAAAACATTATTGAAACATCTTCCATGGAACATATTTCCATGGTACGTAAGAGGAGCGGATATCTACAGAGATCTGAGAGTCGATTCAGTCGAAAAATACATTAAAGATCGTGCTCTGAAACTGTTCAATATAATTGACAGTCACAATAATCCAACTCGCAGCATCCTAAAAATACAGCGAATTTTGATAAACACAGGCAGATACAAAGACATCAGATCCATCATATTATAAAGCCCCGTATTCAGTTATTCTTAGTGTGACTTAAAACTGTCCACAGATAAAATAGAGTAAAGGTGCTGATTCACCAACTCAGACATCTGAATATCAATATTAGCCATTTATTTATATTCACGCAAAAAAGTAGCAATCTTCTGGTTTGAACGATCAGAATTAACACACCATAACCATTTTCAAAAAAAATATAGGGTTATCATACGTCCAGTGTAATGTCAAGCCATATTTTTGTGTATGCACTGATGTTTTAACACTTACTTAAGGATTTTCACTACCTTAAATTCGACAATTTTCCTTTTTAACAAATTTATTGAGCGAAAACTAAGTCCCATTACTGAAGAAAATTTTTGTCTGAAAAACCATCATCCATTTTTGTAATAAATTATTACAATTTAAACACGCGGGGCTACTATAATATGACACATAACATATTATAAAATAGTAAAGTGAACATATTGTTTTGTTTGGCATATATTATATTATTTAAACACGGCTGAAAAATTTGGAAGACTATAAAAGCTATTTGGGTGCAGAATATTAAAATTTTGTACAGAACATGTTTTTTGGTTATACGACGACTCTTTGACACAGACCAAGGCATCATCTCCCGTTAGCTATTTCGATGTGAAATATAAAAGTTTTGGACAAAGGATATTTTTTCGTTGCACGATCCCTTACTATACTTTATAACAGCAAATACGGAATATGGTGCCCCGCATATATACGATTTCTTTCATTAGACTTTCATTAGACTATTCATTTGACTAGACTATGCAATCACCTACAGTTGGTTATTTGGGTTTGAGATATTGAGATTTTGGACAAAATAATTTTTTTAGTTTTAATTTTTGGTACAATGCAGTAAGATTGGATATGGAGTTAAAGTACTTTGGTACAGCCCATATGCGTGAAGTACTTGTCAGTTTTTGGACGTAATGTTAACATAATACGTGCAATTATAAATGGAATAAATTAATAAAAAATTAATTAAAAACAAGACAAAAAAGTATATTAATTGATTTTTTAAGTTTTGATTAAAAATACGTACTGATAGTTAACGTAACAAAAAAACATAATTGGTCATTACAAAATTGACATGTTTTTAATTAATTTGAGAAAAATGGCTTAATATATTTTTTGGTGTCAGATTGCATTAAAATCGATTTCGATTCTTACAACTAGTTTTACATAATAGGCATTTAACTGTTTGTGGAAATGCATGGTTAGAATTTCAAAACATATAATTGCTTTATAATGTGGGAACATTTTCAGCTACAGATACAAATTTCATTTAATCAGTATTTCAAAATGGTCATAACTTATTTAACGAGTTTTGGCATTTTAATTCATTAAAAGGCGTTAGCAAAAATTTTGAACTTTCTCACCTGTTTCAGTGTTAAACGCGCTGTGTATCGCAAATCGCTGCCTTCACGTTTGAACATTGCATGGGGTTTATCTCTTATTATGAATACAATATCTGCAGGTATTTTGCCATGCGTTTGATCGCCTTCTTTTTGAAATGTGACTTTTGTACCAGATTTCCAGCCAGGCTTGATCGAAATGCTAACATATTTATCTTCCTTCTTTGAAGAACCATCAGTTTGAACTACGCGCCGCGATATTTTCATTTTCTTAACGCACCCGTGATATATTTCCTCTAGGGTAACATAAAGATCATGCTCCACTGGAGGATCCTGCTGTTTTTCCTTCTTAAATGGTGTGTGCACATTAAATGAATGCGATCTGAATGAGGGCCTTTACATGATTATTTAATCATGAATTATAGTTATATATTTCATATTCTACACGTAATTACCTGAATGCACTGCCTAGCCCGTGCCTGGAACCTAAGCCGCCAAATGGTGAAGAAAAGAAATCGTTCTCAGTGTCAAGATCGAACACTTTTGTGTCAAACAAGTTATCGCCCATATTAAAAAATGAACTAAATGGATCACTTGAACCGAAAAACTGTTCGAAAGTAGCCCGTGGGTCGCCATGAAATTGATATGTAAATGAACTATTATTACCAGTGCCATTACGCGTACCTTAACATATCCAAGGAAAATAAAATTATTGTATATTTTTTGATTTTCAAATCTAGAAATATGATAAATTATTCAATACCTCCGCGTTTTAAGCCATCCTCTCCATATTTGTCATATATTTCACGTTTTTGTTTATCTGAAAGCACTTCATAGGCCTCAGCGACTTCTTTAAACTTTTCTTCTGCATTAGCTGCTTTATTTTTATCTGGGTGATAACGCAAGGCCAGCTTTCTGTAAGCCTTTTTTATTTCTTCATCAGAGGCAGTTTTAGGCAAACCTAAAGTTTTGTAATAGTCCTTTCCCATATTTGCTAATCTAAGTAGTTAAATATATATGGATCTTATACACTGGTGAATTAAGGTGGTTTTATTGGAAGTCTAACAAATTGATGCTGAAAAGATAAAAAAAAGGTTAGACGTAAGATAAATATTTTGCATAATAAATATTATGTGTAAATTGAATGATTCTATCATACACAAAAAACTCTTAAAGACTGTCTAAAAGCATAGCGTTTAAAAGCGTTTACACATAATATTAGGTTTATCAATGTATTATGTTGACATCGTGAACAGTGATACACAATACCAAAAAGGCAAAAACACATTGACGCCTAGCGTCATGGGTCATAAATTGCTTTACTCATAAATAAATAAAATTACGCTCAGCATTTTTGAAACGTCTATAAACCTTATGGGGGAATACTTTTGCACAGACGCCAACACTAGCGTTATGGCTGAGTATTGTAACATTGCTTGGTATTTTTGGTGGGAACGTATATGAGAAATCATTCTCTCATTAGCTTTACAAGCATTTCAAAAAATGGTGAGCGTAATTTAAGCAATTTATGAGTGTAACACGTCACAACGTTGAGTGTCAATATGATTTAACTCTAAAACTAAACTTGCCAACAAATTTAAGGTAGAAAAGCGTTCACACTAGGCGTCGCGGGTCTTTTACTCTTAAATTGCTGAAATTACGCGCCAAATTTCTGACCGTGTGAATGTGAAGATTATAGAGGACTTCATATTAAGAAGTCCTTCTCTGATATATTCTACATACCAAACAATTTCAGTTAAGTATCGAATTCAGTAAGCACTCGAAATGTACAAATACTTTTGGATACGTCGGTGACAAATAAAAATAGTCGTGTTTTAGCTTATTTTTATTTTTTAAACTCTACGCAGTTATTGCTATGATATTATTATTATTGTTAGAGGATGTGACCGTTGGGTCTATTGTGCCCTCTTCTGAGCTTAGAGCAGGTCTTTAAGCCCTGTTGCATCAATAAAAAGTAGTATAGAACCTACTTTACAGAGTTTTATTGCCTCTTCCGTAAGAATATACATTCCTAGGTACCTATTTCCTATGTGCATTAGCGCAGGGCATTCTAACAGCACATGTGTGGCCGACTCTTCATTCTCTTGACAGAATTTACAGTTTGTATTTTAGTCTACAGTGCCTTGTTAGAATTCCTGTGATGATTCTAAGTTTTTCTTTTGAGAGGTTCATACAATTCTGGTATCTCTTATTGTTACAAGAGATACCAGATAGTTGCTATGGTAACAACTATGGCTATGACTATGCTATTATGCTATGGTTTTTTTCATCTTAAAAAAAGGATTCTTCTGTTTAAAGTATTTATTAGTTACGTCCACAGCACACCAATTTTTCACACTTCGAAACATATTATACGAAAATCATATGGCATTAAATTTACTAGGGTAAGTGTGATAGCACTTTATAACGTAATTTGACCAATTTTACTGTTTAAAATTTAATTAGTTTAAATAGTTTAAAAACGATCTAATATGTTGTCTTAGTAAAACAAAATTTTTTACTTTTTCAAATGAGGTATTTTTTCCTAAATATAATATCAAAAAGGTCTCGAAGTATTTAACAATATTGACCTGTTATTATTTAGCTAGTCAAATATAATTATGCTTCAAATTATCAACTCTATTAGTTGTAAATTAAATATAATAATATAATAAACATAAATAAAATAAAAAACTGTGTTTTCATTAGGTTTCATAATTAAAAAATTTATGTAAGAAACCCCTGTTCCAATAGGTAATACCTTGGCTAAAGGGTTTGTTGCAATTTGAAAATTACAGCACCTGGAATATTACTGATAGCATATCTCATACTGTCGTGGAGTAGAATACAGGCAGTCATATGAACGCAAAATACAACCTCGAAGATAAAAATATCAGAAAGTTACAGACTTAAATCTAAATAGAGAAACCTGTAAAGGTCTTAACACATAGAAGAAATTACTAAAAATTAACCGAATTTAATTCGGTTATATAAAGTGGAGTTCAAAGTATAAAGAATTTTTAAAAACCAGTTTTTATAGTGAGCTTATTTATTGTCAAATATATAAGTCGGTAAGAGTATAGCAAAACACATTAGCACTCGGAAACAAGGGTTATACCTCTGAACTTCGGTTCATAGCTAATAATACTGTCTGTGGTAAACGATTTTATCATATTACTTTAGTTTATAGCTAACTACGTTCCCTGTCAAAAAAAAAAATATTTTTAATTTAAAAAAAAATAAATTTTAGCATTTATTGTACCTCAATTGTAATTCTTTAGGATGTCTGTACAGGGATCCAGTAATTCCTCTTCTATTCGTATAATAAGATTTATAAATACATACATCAATATGTTAAATGCTCTATTTACTGGATTTACTGAAAATTTACTGGGACAAAAAAGTTCTATTTACTTCGAAGTTCGCTTTGGATGTACTTGAGAACAAATGATTATAATAAAAAAAATAAAAATATATAAAAAAAAAATTTGTACTTACCAAAAAAATAAATAGTTCGAATATGTTAATAGATTTTCCCAATTTTTTAAAAACGAAGTGACGATAATTTGTAATAGATCATTTTTAACTGCAAAAAACGTGAAAAATATTTTATTAAATGTCATTGTTTTTTATTAAAAATAAAATGTATATATATTTCCGAAATTAAATAAATATGTTAATTATGACCAAATTGGCAGATTGTTTGATAACAAAATTTTAAATTAATATAAAATTGAATAAAATTATTTGACTTTTGCTAAAGGATGGGAGAAAATTATTCACTGCTTTTTTAAATAAATAAACATATTTCTTTTTTATTAAAAAAAACAATTTTATTGATTTATATATTTATTAATTTATAAGTTTTATTAATTAATATATACTGCATAATACGCATTTATTCTAGATTTCCAGGATATTATCTTTGAAAGACTAACTCAGTTATCAATTACAATAGATATAGCAAGAGTATGTTTTGGAGATCAGAAGATATAATAATCTGACAATGTCAAAACATCAAACCTCGCATTAATTGCTAACAGTTCTAAGATAGGTAGTTCTTAATGAATGGTACGTTTACAAACCCATTAAATCCATATCATTATTTTCCTTAATCACGAAATTTGATCGGGTTTTGATCAATATCATTTTCACAAAATATTGTATGAAAATATTGTATGCATAGTATCTATTCATCACTTGATAGATACTATGCATGGAGTTACCGGTGACCGTCATAAATCCAATTTTAAAGCTTCTTTAACTTTTTCTTTAATCACTTCTTTAATTACAGATATTAGATAATCAAATAAATTAGTTAGCTAGTTAGTTCATGGTGAATGTTGCGCTTATTTTCCCATCAAACACATATGATGTCTTTGTGTTTATGAAGCGTCATTAGCTTTTGACCAATACCATTATTTACACACATTATCGTATATTAAATATTTTGATCACTTGTTACGTGCTATGCATGGAATAACCGGTGACCATTACGAATTAAATTTTATGCTCTTACTCTCGCATTCAAGATTTGAATTTACATTTAAAGCAACAACAAATGGATGATCGATGATTATCTGATCTTCTACGTAATATGGCCATTACCGTACGCTTCGTTTTCATTCCGTTTCAATAGCAATTCACAGATACAAATTGAATTAATAAATCTTTTTTCAAAGAGTTCACTGAGATACTTCTTATAGGCATCGCTATAGCACTGGTTTAAAATTATTTTGTGTGTGATCTTCAGTGGCTTTCATCAAAAATAACACAATTCTTTTCACCTAACAATATCACTTTCTTCTCTTTATAAGAGTAATATTATTAGATATAACAAATTTTATTCATATTTACTCTTGCAGTAATTTTAAGCGATGAATACCAATATCAATCTCTATACAATACACACAAATTTTGATCTAATCATCAATCAAACGAATAAAGAATTGCCAAATGGAAGTAACCATTTTAAACTTTGATGTACTTCAAAATAAGAAGCACAGAAAAACGCCGAATACTTTTTATCCAAAGTTGTATATATGAATATATCATAATTAGAAAATAGTTTTTATTCCATAAAAATCGTTTCATTTCGTAATAATATAATTCGTATCCATAAATATTTCCGTGAGTATGTTTGAACTCGTATATACAAGAAATTTTAATTTCTGTACACATTCTTCAGTAAACGTCATTTGTCTTCAAGGTTCTGTACTACAAAAGCAACAACAACAGGCTTATGTTGCCATGATCATCAAAGCCCACTTGATCCCACGCGTTCTACAAATTTAGAAATTTTTTAGAAATGTTTGCGTATTATGTTTAATTTTTGACTTATAATAAAATGAAATGTTGCAAATTTTTATTATTTTAATATAAAAGTGCAAATAACGAAGCAACAATAATGAGCAAAATGCGCAAAATATTTTATCCATTCGAAAAGAAAACTATCATAAATATTTATTTTCCATAAAATTCTGAAGTGACTTTACAATCCATTTTTAAAGAAACTTGACTTTGAAATATTTTCAAACTATTTATACCACAAAGTTTTTTCACATATTTAAAATACGAACTGGTTTAAGTCAGTCTCTAGATTGCTCTGTAAGAATAAATTATAGTGGGTCAATTTTTGCTTAAAACCACACTAGATAAATTGCACAGTTCAAAAAATCGCATACCAGAACTGTGTAAGAGTGAGAAAATACTAACGTATATAAGTATCTTTAGACCCATGTAAGTATGTTCGCTTACATCCACTTGAAACTCACACCTCTCTACATTAATATCCAGTCGCCAACAAACTAAGCCATTTCAAGAAAAACCAAAGATAATATCGGCTAGGCGAGTTGTCTTTATAGTGAGTACGATTTAAAAACGATTTAAAACAAGACTAGTTAATAAAAAAAATTGAGATGGTACATCTCAACAAGAACATAACGGCGATGTATCCGAAATTTATCCAGTTTAAGTAATAAACTGAATGATACATCTTAACATAAGCAAATCAACATGGTTTATCATCGATTCTCTCATTAAAGAAAAAGCTGAATCGGACATTAACGAACTAGAATTGATAAAGTTGAAACCCCAAAGCATAAACAGAACTATCTTCCGAACAAAGATTCAAGCGATAAATACACGCGTTCGTTTTAATCTTATCCAGAATAGATATCCAGACTGATAGCCAAGCATTAATAAAAACACTGTATCAGTATCAAATGGCATTAATAATGGTAATAGAGTCCTTAAAAAAAATATCTTTGACTATAGCAAACAGGTATAGTTCATATGGACTGCAAGTCACGTTACAATTTCCGGCAGGAGCAAACTGATACTTAAAAACCGAAACCACGCTGTAACTTTAGAATAGGTAAACTTTTCTAATATGTACAATATAAAGAGAATATACCGAGAAGGTTATACTGGTTATACTGGAAGAATAGTTTCTTTCTGAAATTTTGACAAGATACTATAAAGTAAATTACCATTTTGTAATGCTGAATTTTGTTGAGATTAGAAATAGACCGTAAAATACTTTATTAACGGTTGAAAAATAATAACTGGTAATGTTAGTTCGATACTTTAAGTACGAGTTGATGAAATTAGACTTAGATTAATACTATGAATCGATGGCACAATATACATTTAGCTCGCGGTCCGAAATATTCCAAATTAATTAAGATTAATAAAAAGAACGACTCAGCGCTATGTTAATACCAGAACTGAAAAGGTAAATTAACAGGTAACATTTTAATTATTTACATAATTCTTTTCTTTCTTCTTTAACTTTTGACATTTTTTTATTTATTCTTCTACTTTTAGTATCAGATTTACAATCCACTTTTAAAAGATTCTTAAGTTAAGCGTTTTTTATAAGTTTTTTTCAATCCATAAGTGTAGATGGTTTTTACAATATTAAGACTTAAGAACAGATTATAAGTATGAAAAGTATGGCAACACTGAAAAAATTATAAAGACTGTTATGAGAATTTGGAATATTAAACTGAGGATTCAAAGTGGAAGTTCATGCTTACCGAGTCAAAGAAAGAAAGTATAGAAATATGTCTATATCAGTATACCTATTATAAAAAATTACTCAAATAATGCTCAATGAACGGTTTATGTGTAAATATAATTGATTGTTTAACTATAGTTATCCATTACATTATTGGGTACAGCACGGTGATTGGATATAGTCCATTCCTTATCATCAAAAAAAAAAAACACATCTGAATTATCCCAAGACAGCAAATGTTTTAATTATTTTTATTAATTTTTAAATAATCAAGCTCGCAAAAAATGAAATTTGATTTTGCAAATAAATAATTTTTGTAATTGTCTTACGTCAACTGATAAGAAAGTAATCCCTTAGTACTCTTTATTGCGCACTTAAATATCACTTTAAATTTAATGGTAGAATTGTCAATTTTGTTTGCAATGGTTTATAAAATCAGAAGACAACGACCGCTGATAGGTAGCGACTGGGTGACTGATAATGTAAAATATTTGACCCGATTATTCACAAATCAAAAGACAACTGCCGCTAGAACGACTAGCGAGAACGCAAGCGTCAGAGCATGGAAAGGGTGACTCATGGATATATTAAAGATGTCGGATGTGTTCCAGATAGACTAAAGTTCAATTTCTGCTTGTCTTGATAACCTTCTAAGGAGCATGGGTCTTTTAATACGTTTCTATGTGGAAGACCTATTGCTGGGGTCTCAAATAGTGTTTGCGAATGTCCCCTGTGCTAAGAATAGGTTATACATAAGATGTCAGTGATATGCTTCACATACAACACCGACTTGCCTGATCATTAAGAATATGCTTGTGCCATGTTTGAAAGTGCGAATGTAAGTTTATGTATGTGAATGAAGAAGTCAAACAGTTGTAGTGCGACAGGTTGGTCCATTAATGCGTGTATTTCATTATTATATTCTGTTCTTTTGTGGGCACCATTCCGAGTAACACTTGAATTGGTTTCCATTCAACATCTGACCATAAGTGTAGTTCTGGTAATACGGGTATTAGTTTACGAGAATCAAGACTCACCGCTTAAGTTGTTCTGACAATTGAGGTTGGTTCGTGAACTTTAATGGACTAAAATGATTGGATTTATTTTTTTTATTTAGATAGAGCTACACTCAAAGAGCGGCAAAGCGAAAGTTATACCGAAAGATATAGCTTCAATTGGTACTAGCAAAACTTTATCGATTCATTATCTTAAGAACATCTGTGTGTCGGAAACACCGCGTTGTTAAGCATTCATGGCAGGGAACCATGTAGAAATATCTCTGAAATAACACAATCTGATAACACAACCTATGGCTATAAACTTTTTAAGTGCATAAGTTTCATATAATTCATTATAATAAACTAAATGTGTTCAAGTTTTTTTAGAATAAATTCTACATAATTGCAGTTTTAAAATAATTTTAATATAATTATTAAGGTATAATCAATAAATATAGTATTATTAATCAAGCATTTTTATAAATAGTTGATAACTTTCTGAAGATAATTAGACATTCGTTTAATATAAATCTGAAATCATTGTCTCATTTTGAAACTAAACCTAAC